GGCGGATATTTTTTTTTCAGTCCGGGCAGGTAGTGGGGGATTTTTTTTTTATGCGTGTGTGTTGTTATGGACATCAGAAATGTTATATTAATGTTATATTGGTACATTACCGCCACCAACTGCTTGATTTCCTCCTTCAATACTGGCAGTACCGCAGATCGTCTCTAGGAGGCGAGGAGTCAAGGAACTGAGATAGTGTGATGTGTAAACGGTCGTCAGAACCGAGCTCGGCCTGGTTAACTGATCGGAGCTCGGACCGGTCTCGGCATGGATTCGGTGTTTCAAGGGTAGTGTAAGTGGGGTAATAATCTGAGCAACAGTCCTCCTCATGGGTCTGTCCCCCTCCGCCCGGATCGCCATCATCAATATTTTGAAGGATTTCTAAAGCCTGTTTCACTTTTAGATTTCTTCTGAAAGCAGTTTTTCCATATAACCGAAAGAGTTCTAGGTAGAAGGCTGGTTGCTAGGCAACGGTACATCAATCAACCGCAGGAAGAAATTACAATGCCACTTATTGAGCCGTCAAAATGACGGCTGTGGGAGATCGAGGTAAAATTAACCATATTTATTTTTTATGTTTTAATTTTATTTAAAAAACTACGTGAAAATGAAGGAAATATAAAAACAGAAAAGGTCAGTTAACATGAGCAACATAAAATTCATTTTAAATAAAGTCCTTACCGTTTAAAATCTCAGAACCATTCTAGTGTTAATGACTTTAATTACCAACATCCAGCTCTTGGAAGACAAGTGGTACAGGCTCAAGAGGCAGGATTAACTTAAAAGATCCCATATAAAACCTCTCCACTATTTCCTCCCATGATCCGCATAGTTGCCAACGTCTGATTCAGTCATCCTACAATGAATCAGTCCTGTAGCTTCTATAGGATATATTACAGTTCTCTCTATACCATTAGAATACACCCGTTAAGGACCAGCTATTCTTACAGTTCTCAAATCTCATTTGCCTCCCTGAAGGGGAGTAGAGTCCCCTGAAGCCAACTGGAAAAGTTGATGTGTTCTCATGTGGACATTCTTCACTACCTTCAGAGCAAACAGTTCTCCTCTAAAGCAGGAGGTGGTAGTGGTGTATTTCCGGTGGAATGTCCAAACTGATTCCACATCTTAATTGATAGTATAGAAAGATAAAAGCTCCACAAAAATACAGTCATGTTTTTCCCACGTCAATAAAGTTCACCATAATTTTATGGTTTACCAAATTATTATTTTTTTTTGTGGAAATGTAGGTAGGAACACCCAGGTCACGTTTTGAGTAACTGCACACGCCACCCATGTGCAGACCACCCTACCTGATCGTCCAAAAAAAAAACAAGAAAAAAAAAAAAACACTGGACTTTTTTCTTCTTCTGCTCATAAAATTGTAAGACAGTTTTCCACAGTAAATTGGTGGAACCCATTCTAACTGGACACAAACGCTGGAAGTGCGCATGAGCCACAGCATGCATCAAGAGCATCCCCTAAGGAACTCTAAGAAGAAGGGATTTATCATTCGGCAATACTAGGCAGTAGCCTAGGGCTTGGGGGCCCCATTAATACAACTATTCCTTATTTGGGCACATTAATTATGTTTTTGGTAAAATACAGAGGGAGGAGAGAAAGGAGGCCTCTGATTGGTCAATTCTACATCCGTCTATACTATGTGTATTTCTTGTTTGGTACCTAATGGCAGAAACTTTGGCTGTGGCGCCATCCATAACGCCTGGCACACCTCGGGCACTATCTCAGACACCGTGCAGGACGCTAGTTTGTAGCTCTGAGCGACGGCCTGTTGGTTTGCATCCAAAGCCTAAACACGCAGCGCCACGGCCAGTCTTTGGGGAACACTCACAGGTGAACTGTGTGTCGCCCGGCATTGGATGGGGGGTTGTAAACGGCGAACAAGCTCGTCAAACTGACACACAGGCACCCACAATCCTAGCTAGTTCCTGATTGTCCCTCTTGCATTGTGGCGTGGAATAACAGAGCAGACCGCGCTTCAAAATTATAGTATAAATCAAAAAAATCTGTGTCATACCTGCGACAAGCTAACTGTGACACCCTGCAGCGGGAGGATACACAGCCCTTCATATCCAGCCATTAAACAAGGACACTGCTACATGGTTGTACATTTTATTTTGGCTTTTGACCAATTAGATGAGCCCTTGAATGATATATTACCTACTATAAATTAAGGTGGAAAAAAAGTAAACAAGTCAAGAAAAAAAAAGGTAAAAAGCTAATCGAAAAGTTATAAAGCAGGGACGTCTGGAGCCATGGTATTGCATTGCACTGATTTTGTGCAGTATTTTTGATGCAAGGCCTTTCAGAATCTATAATGCAAGGGGATTATTATTTTTCAGTGAATGAGGTTTTAATAGGAATAGGTGGAGTACAACTTTTCTACTTCTGTTATTTGCTGTTGTTTCTAAAAGAAAATGCATAACGCTATTGCAGCTTTCTTTGATTTATTTCAAATTTGAAACATTGTCTATCCTGTAAGGTAAAAAAAAAAATGTAACCAATTAATCGTATCGTGGTGTATTCTTGAGTATTGGAAATAATTGAATCGTTGGGTCAGGAAATCGATACTGAATAGAATCGCCATGATAGGTGTGATTTACACCCCTAGTGGTCGGAGGAGAGACACACAGCAGCTAGGGTTGTCACGATACTAAACTTTTCAACTAGATACCGATACTAAGGAAAATATTCCATTTACCAGATACCATTTTCGATACCACAAGGATAAAAACAAAGACTCCAAAATTCTACAGAAATATTATCATTAATAAATAAAATACAATAAATAAATACAATAAACAATAAGAACAGTATTTTGAGGTTGTATGCTGTGCACAATATTAAGCAAGCTTAATAAAAAACTTTAAAATTAAAATTAAGTGTTCCTTCCTTGGCTATGGTTTGCACACATAACAATGACACTAAGCAAACCGGTTAAGAAACAAAAATCATTCTCAGCAGCTGCACCCGTTACAAAAAAAAGTTTGAAACTGAAAAGTGCGTAGAATTATTCAATCACACAGTGTTCAGAAAGTGCATTTTCCTCTATTCTGCACTTTAGATGAAGGACTGCTTAGGTGCCACTGGTGGTGGCACTGTATCGATACTTTAAAAAACGAGTATTGTATCCAGATACAATGTTTCAGTATCGATACTTTTGACAACCCTAACAGCAGCACTCAGTGAATATTAACCGGTAGCTACTTTGATGTTTAAGTAAAAGTAAGAAGACTGGTTGGTTGAAATAATTAGAGATCATGCCACCGAAAAAATCTGTTCATTAGACACACAGCTTTTTCAGCAAAAACAGCAACAGATAAGTTTATAGGAGTTAGTATTATAATGCAGGAAGCTTGAGAAAACAGTTTTAATGTGTGTTGTTCTTTACTATAAAAGCTGGACTTCTATGACAACCATGACTCCCAGTTACAGCTTAAAATTAACAAGTGTTTCCCGATTCAACACAGAATCAACAGAATAGATAATTTATAGATTTTGGCATCACAATGGGCTGTTAGTCTTTTTTTTTATGCATTTACTTTTTTGGGCTCTATATATGTACAGTAGTAACCCTTCAAAACTTCTCCACTTTCCTCGATGGGCCCTTGGCTAGTCCCCAACAATTCCTTTTTAATCATCTAAGATATTCTGTCATGATTTGTGGACATTAAGATCTAAAGAGGAACATTATCTCCTGTTCAGACCCTGCAATTCATTGAATGGGTGGAGTAAAGAAACATGCAGGAGGGGATCACTTCAGTGCCTGGAAGTTGGAGGGGATTCTGCTGCCATTCTCCTGGCCTTAACTGATCAGGGCCATTTGCTCCTGTAATGCACTGAAAGGCATCTCTCTAACTACCTATAAATATAGTGTATTATGGTTCTCTTGTGTTCTTAACAATAGGGAGGCATTCAATAACTACATGTTTGAGCTCATTTTTGGAAAATATAAACCCTAATGACTGTAGGTTCCATCAGCAACCACCAGCCTTTATCACAAAGTTACACCCTATTGGCTTTAAATTTAGATTTTCAAAGTAAAAGTGCCCTATAAAGGTTTAACATCTCCTATGTGTCTCATTTGGTGTTTTCGAATAAATAAAATAAACCAGAAATGGCTTTCTGGGGGCTATTGTGGGATGAGCCGGTGAAACAGAAAGTTGAGCACTGTCCCGTCTCAGACTCAGACATGTGTCCCGGTTGATCCAAGCACGGCGCTGCTAGCTGCACTGTTAGCAACAAACGGCTGCTAACCTGCCGGTGCCTGGCAAACTGCCTCCCCCAAACACCCACCGCTGTGGAAACGCGGAGTGTTTCACGTCGCTGAGGGACTCGGTTATGCTCTCTAAGAACTGGGGCGGGAGAAGTTGACGTCTAGCTGTAGCTAGCGTTAGCTTAGCATGCATCAGCGCCCGGATAGATGGACCAACACAGGAGGCAATGAGGGGAGCTCTGTCCCTAACAGCTAGGGCACCGGGGCATAGTGTCCGCTTCTCCACCGGATCGCTAATTCCGACAGGATAAACGCACCTAATGTGGAACAAATTGGCGCCAACTCACACTCAACCCCTGCATGTTAGCCTGAAAGCTAGTGGTACACAGGCAGCTATTTGTGTTTTACTGTTGATTTTCCTGATGATCAGCCAGCTAAGCACACCATGAAGCCGGTCGGTATAAGCCTCCCAACCGGAACGGACCCCGGCAGCCTCACAGACTGGAACCGCACTGCTCCCCGGTGTCTGTTCTGGCTCCGTCCAGTAGCTAACACAAGCTAGCGCAATGACAGCAGGCCACGAGTCAACACAGGCTGCCTCATCCTTTCTTTAAGTGTCCACAGCGCCGCGTCCCGCCGCTAACTGCATCCCTTTCCGCTGCTCACCGACCCCCTGCCTGCAGGACCGCATTTGGACCGAGGCTCAACCTCATCTTCCCGCTGTAGAACAAACTGTCGGTAACAAAAACATGAAACCTCTGCTTACCTGCACATGATCCGCCATTTTTCTCCATTTCATGCACCTCTCACTCCTCCGCTTATTGAAATGTAAGGGAACCCAGCGCCCCCTGCTGGTGGCGGCTCGAAATTACGTTTTTCGAATCAACTAAACGGTCCAAATATACTCATTCAGAACAAAACTTGCAGGTGGCAAAAAAAAAAAAAAAAAAAAAAAAAAAAAAAAAATATATATATATATATATATATATATATATATATATATATAGGAAGAAAACAATATACCGCAGCAATTAAAATATAATTTTCTCACAGAAATATAGTAAAAGCTAATAGTTAGAATGGCTCAGGTTATCCTGAGCTATCTCTATAGTTATGCTGCTATAGGCTTATGGTAAATGGTAAATGGCATGTACTTATATAGCGCCTTTATTCAAGTTAGGAGACCTGACCAAAGCGCTTTACACTACATTCATTCACCCATTCACACACACACTCACACACTTAGACTGCTGGAGGACATAGGGACCCCTTTTTCATCATTCTGCTTCATTCTCTCTCTATTCTCCCACTCTGCAGAATCTGTTAGTTCAATCTCTAACGTTCTGCTCTCTCTGCTTTTTCTCATAGTAGCTTCATCTGGTCTATTCCTGTTTGTCTGTGACTCCATCCTGGAGAGAAATATCAGCTGTGCTGCTGCCATCAACACCTTTGTTTCTAGATGTTTGTGCTTGGCCTGTTTTCCAGTGTAGTCCTGTTTCTCTGACTGTGACTAACTGGATGTGCTCTCTTCGTCCTCTGGCATGGGAGCTGGCTCGGAGCTCGTCTGCCTGGCTGTGTGTTTCCTGGATGGGGCCGTCTTTTACAGCTGCTTTTTATATCTCTGCTTCTGTCTCCTTGAACCCCAGTGGGCCTCAGCAGATGGCCGCTCACACTGAGCCTGGTTCTGCTGGAGGTTTCTTCCTGTTAGAAGGGAGTTTTTCCTCTCCACTGTCGCTACAAGCATGCTTAGTGTGAGGGATTGTATTTGAGACAATGAGTCGATGCAATCAACTGGTTTTCCTTAGATAGAAAACTTTGAATCAATTTGACTGGATGATCTGGTTGAACTGTAAAGTGCCTTTAGATAACATGTGTTGTGAATTTGGCGATATATAAATAAACTGAATTGAAATTGAAATTAAAATTATGGAAGCCCGTTTCCGCCACTTGACAATAAAAAATACCAAATAGAAATTATGAGATTCGAAGTCCTAATTTTGACTTTCAAAGTCATAATTATGATAAAGAATTTAAAAGTCGAATATCTCAGAATTATGATTTTGAATCTCATAATTCTGATTTCTATTTGGTATTTTTTTTTACTTTCATGTGGCGGAAACAATTTCTCATATTCAATGTAGCTGTTATAGCTAAAACATCATTAAATATAACCATTAAAGGATTCATATTTAAATTTTTGCCGCATTATTTCTTACACCAATGTCTAACTTAAGTTCACGTCTGCTAAGCATTGACTGACAGCAAGTCTAAGGTTATCTGAGAAATACAGTCTTGAGCCGAAGAAAGAGCAGTTATGATGTTGTCCTACGAATATCCTGGATCATCTCATGCAAATAATTCTCTATTGCTCATGAAATGCAAGGTTGATATGATAAACACATACCATGGCAAATTAATACACATCTTTTGTACATTATTTGTATCTTATTTTACTTTGCAAACATCATATTATATATTGGGTACATTGATTCTTAAAAACCAGTCAACAGTAACTGTCTGTTTTATTAAGTCAGTCGCTTTGATTTTTTTTTTTATTACTTGCCTTTCAGGGCAGGAAAAAAAAACTTTTCCAGATTCAAACTTTCTTCAAACAATCTTCAAACTTTTCAGGGCTTCCATAGTTTATCTTAGTCCAAAATAAAATTTATTAATCCCAGCTTTGGTCGGTCTATCCCAGTGGTCGGCAGCCCAAACTGTTTAACGAGCCATATTGGACCAAAAAACGAAAAAGAAATCTGTCTGTAGCTGCAAAAATGTAAAACTCTTACATAAGCATTGTATGGCAAAACTGGCTGCAAGTGTATTAGTCCACAATAACAGGGACTACTTTGGCTTAAACATATAATATGCATGTGCAAGATGTCAGATTTCAATTTGGTTTATTCAATTAGTTATTCAATTTCAATTTGGTTTATTTACATAGTGCCAATTATCAACACATGTTATGTCAAGTCAATTTCCAGTTCACCAGATCATAAAGTCAGATTGATTCAAAGTTTTCTATCTAAGGAAAACCAGCTGATTGCATCGACTCATTGACTCTTCAGCAATCCCTCACACTAAGCATGCTTGTAGCGACAGTGGAGAGGAAAAACTCCCTTTTAACAGGAATAATCCACCAGCAGAACCAGGCTCAGTGTGAGCGGCCATCTGCTGAGGCCGACTGGGGTTCAAGGAGACAGAAGCAGACATAGAAAAAGAAGCATAGATACAAAAGGCAACTGTCAACCAGCTCCACAGGCGGCCCCGTCCAGGAAACACACAGCCAGGCAGACGAGCTCCGAGCCAGCTCCCATGTCAGAGGATGAAGAGAGCACATCCAGTTAGTCACAGTCAGAGAAACAGGACTACACTGAAAAACAGGCCGAGCTCCAACATCTATAAACAAAGGTGAACAGTAAATTTTGCAGTTTTGAAGTAACATTTTGAGTGTTAAAATAATACTTTGAGAGTAAATTTGGTCCAATATTAATTAAAAGTGGGACCAAATGTACTCTTTAGTGTTACTTTAATACTGCAACATTTACTGTGTGTTGATGACAGTAACACAGCTGATATTTCTCCCCAGGATGGAGTCACAGCCAAACAGGAACAGACCAGATGAAGCTACTATGAGAAAAAGCAGAGAGAGCAGAACGTTAGAGATTGAACTAACAGATTCTGCAGAGTGGGAAAATAGAGATGGAATGATAACTAGGGGTCCCTATGTCCTCCAGCAGTCTAAGCCTATAGCAGCATAACTATAGAGATAGCTCAGGATAACCTGAGCCACTCTAACTAGAAGCTTTATCAGAAAGGAAAGTTTTAAGCCTAGCTTTAAAAGTAGACAGGGTGTCTGCCTCATGGACTAAAACTGGTAGTTGGTTCCACAGGAGAGGAGCCTGAGAACTAAAAGATCTGCCTCCCATTCTACTTTTAGAAATTCTAGGAACCACTAGTAAACCTGCAGATTGAGAGCGAAGTGCTCTGTTAGAAACAGAAGGAACAATCAGATCTCTGATATCAGATGGAGCTTGGCCATTTAAGGCTTTATATGTGAGAAGGAGGATTTTAAATTCTATTCTTGATTTAACAGGAAGCCAATGAAGAGAAGCCAGGATAGGAGAGATATAATCTCTCTTTTTAATTTTCATAGGAACTCTGGCTGCAGCATTTTGGATCAGCTGAAGGCTTTTAACTACAGTTTGTGGACTTCCTGATAGTAAAGAATTACAATAGTCCAGCCTTGAAGTAACAAATGCATGGACTAGTTTCTCAGCATCACCCCTGGACAGGAGATTTCTAATTTTTGCAATATTGCACAGAGAAAAGAAGAAAATTCTAGAAACCTCTTTGATATGGGACTTAAATGACAGGTCCTGATCAAAACTGAAAACAAGAATTTTATCCCTTTAGGTTTGTACGAGAAATAGACTTTAAACTACCTTATCCCATTAGTCATGTACAAAAAAAAAATTTAAGTTGAGATAGCATATGCTTCAAAAAACACCAAAAAGTAAATAATTAAATAGTTTTTTGTACATGACTAAAGGGATACATTGAGGTAATGTGTCTATGTGTTGAAAAAAACTCATACCACCAAATCTTGTCGTTTGTTTGTCGTTTGCTTTGACAAGGTAACCTTATGTTTTTCCAGCTGGCATTAACCAGTTTGAAACGGACATATACAATTTGCCACTTTTGGCTCTAGAGGCTGCTGTAAAATTGGAGGTCCTTTTTCCTGTGGACCAGATTTTGGTCCCTATAAGCTCTCTTGGTCCTCAGAAGGCTGGTAAATATACCAAAAACAGTCCTTAATAGATAACATAAACAAATACATACACACAGTTGTGTCAGAGAATCCTTCTGGAGCCTTTCCATTCACTTTTATTATTTCCCACTCATTTCTATGGCCCTACCTGAGCCATTACACTACCCCCCAGGGACCTATGCTGTAATTCTTTTATGTTGGGTCATTTTCATAGATACATTGTATGTTTTTTGGTGTCCAAGGCGAGAGTTCCTCTTATCCGCCTCCTCCCGCATTGGTGCTCCAGTGATAATGGCTTTTCATACCTGCTGCGCAGGCGGTAAACTCTGAGTGGAGCTAATGAACTGATAGCAGCAGTTGTGAAACTGAACAATAAAAATTCCCGACTTTAGGCCAGATCAATCTATCAATCAATCAGAGTTGCAGATGTGATTCTGAATTTGTAAAGCCTGCTTTGTGAAACGGACCTTTCTGTAGATAACTAATCTCGTATCATGATAATTGTTTTCGATTTCCGTGATGCAAAGAAAGATAACTTCATTCCTACACTGGTTTTGACAAAATTCTGGCTTTTATCAACAATTTGCTGAACAAATTGTTAATTTGTTTTTAAGACAGTTTCATATTTATTTGCGATGAAACCAGATTAAAAAATGGAGTTATTCTATTTTTCTAAAATAAATCAGAATAGGCTAAAAACAGATCAGAGCAGATCTGATGATAAGAAGTCAGTCACAAAATATCTACTTTGGGCTTTGTTATTTAAAAGAATTGTTGTCTTTTTCCTATTCATCACTAAGTGTTATTAACTTAGAGTAATCTAATGTTTTGTATTTGTTTCTGTCCTTCATGCAGCTTTCCTGGGGCTAACTGCAACTCACTCTCTTTGGGGTCCTGCTAAGGTCAAATCAGGTTTCAGACGTGCATTCAGTGAGAAGCTTCAGCTTATCCCACATTAGTCTGATGTGCAATCTATTCTGCTCTTCCAGCTGAATGCTGCTGCGTTGTATTACTATAAATTCTTTAATATTTCATCATCATAAATAGGTTCTCCACTGCACTCCTTCCATGTTTTCAA